GGGACAGGACCCCTTCATGTCCGTTGATTCGCCGGCCGGCAATCGGGACATGGTGGCGACCGCCGCGGAGATTGAGCCCCGCGCTGTGTAAGGCTGGGGTTCAACAACGGCGGTAGCCGCGGAATCGGAGCCCCGCGCCGTGTCAGGCTGGGGCCCGGTGGCGGCAAGAGCCACGAGAGCGGAGCCCCGCGTTGTGTCAAGCTGGGGCTCCAAACTGGACCTCACCGTGGTTCCACCCGCGGAGGATGTCCTACAGCTGGATTATATGGAGGAGGATGAAGAGGATGCCTCTGAGTTCCTCTTATCCGACTCGGATGAGCACGAAGATGACATCTTCGTTTCATCTGCCCAGGCTGCCAAGCCGGAGGCGATGTCCGCTCCCCCGGGTGAAAGCACATCAGCTTCGCCCTACCTCAGTATGGACTTGCAGGCCGTGTGCCACTGCCCACGTGCTGCGTCCAGGCTGGACATCCCCTGGCCTGAAGTGGCCAAGGAGATCTCCAGATCTCGCTATGAGGGGAAGAACTTTCCCCAAGCAGCGAGGATGAGGAAGCAGCTTCTCCCAGTCTTTCCAGAGATGCTGGACGAGGTGTCGGTCTCGTGGAGAGACCGCCCTTTCAGCAACAAGGCCACAATCCAGGGTGCCTCCTCTTTGGACTGTGACGGCATGGAGAAGCTCGGCCTGCTCCGCATGCCACCCATGGAGCCGCTGGTGGCAGCCCACCTCCAACCGCGGCTGGCTTCGGCACCGAGCAGGAACCCCACGCTACCGGCAAAGGCAGACCGCTTCCAGTCAGCAATGACCGAACGAGCCTATAAAGCCGCAGCTTTGTCCGCCAGGGCGCTCAACGTCTCCTCGCTGCTGACCGCCTACCAGGCGGAGCTCTGCGAGGACATGACGGTAAAACCTGAGCCTGCCGTGTGGGACGAAATCGCAGCGATCACGGACATTTGCCTCCGTGTGCAGCGCTGTGCCGTCCAAGCCACGGGCAAAGTGAGTGAAAGCCTTCTGGGCTTGCCTCGCTCATTTCCAGCCACGCAAATATGTTCTCTTCAGATCATGTCTGCGGTTACTGGGGCTCAGGGCATCAGCCGTTCTGGTGGTACGACTGGGACGCTTACACATGAGGGAGTTTCAGCGCTGGGTAGCTGCCCTCAGACTGGACCCCGTGCGTCATGGCGCGCGGAGAGTGATGGTCACTACGAAATGCGTAATGGCACTGCGCCACTGGCTGCACCCGACTTTTCTAGTACGGGGCGTGCCTATGGGTGCTGTCCTATCGCGGAAGGTGGTCACCACAGACGCATGTCTGACGGGCTGGGGGGATATATACGAAGGTCGACCTGTGAGGGGTCTCTGGAGCAGAGACCTCCAACAGTCACACATAAATTATCTGGAGCTTTTAGCGGTGTTCCTCACCCTGAAACGCTTTCTGCCTTTTCTCAGAGGACATCATGTCCTCGTGAGGACAGACAACACGACCACAATATCGTATATAAACCGCCAAGAGGGTTTGCGTTCTCTCCAGTTACACATGCTGGCACGCAAACTGATCTTATGGAGCTGCGGACGTCTCCTCTCTCTGAGAGCGACGCACGTACCAGGAGTGATGAACCTCGGGGCAGATCTGCTTTCCAGAGGTGCACCACTGTATGCAGACTGGACTCTACATTCAATAATTGTGAGTCAGTTGTGGGTGTGTTACGGCCTGGCCGCGGTGGATCTGTTCGCATCAAAAGAAAACGCTCAATGTCAGCTGTTCTTTTCAATGCGCGATTTAAACGCACCGTTAGGCGTGGACGCGCTCGCACACGTTTGGCCTCCGGTCCTTCTGTACGCGTTCCCACCCCTGGCTCTAATACCCCCAACTCTGGCCAGAGTGAGAGAACAACGCCACACACTGATCCTAATAGCTCCACACTGGCCTGCAATGTACTGGCTGGCGGAGATATATCAGCTGCTGTGCGGGCAGCCGTGGCAGCTCCCGCTAGCTACGCAGGGACATACCGTCTCATGCAGGGGGGACAATTTTTCACCCACACCCAGAGCGCTTGGCACTATGGGCCTGGCCCGTGAGTGGTATAACCTGAATACAGTGGGACTCCCTCAGAAGGTGATAAACACTATTCAGAGTGCAAGAGCTTCCTCCACCAGGTCCCTCTATGACTGTAAGTGGAGGGTGTTTGAGGAGTGGTGCCTTCAAAAAGGACACATCTCTTTTCAATGTCCTGTCGGGGTGATTCTATCATTTCTACAGGACCTGATTGATAAACACAGAGCTTTCTCTACGATCAAAGTGTACCTGGCTGCTATTGCTGCATGCCATGTGGGCTTTGAGGGAAAGACGGCTAGCCAACATCCCTTGGTCTGCCGTTTTATGAAAGGGGCTCGCAGGCTCCTCCCTGTTTCCAGGTCACTGTGCCCTTATGGGACTTGGCAGTGGTTTTAGATGGGCTCACTCGACCTCCATTTGAACCCCTGGAAGAAGCTGACATGAAACACCTGTCACTGAAGACAGTGTTGTTACTGGCTCTGGCATCTGCCAAGCGAGTCAGTGACATTTATGCGCTCTCTGTACATCCTTCATGCACTCAGTTTGCCCCGGGGCAAACGAGAGTGTTGCTAAAGCCCAACCCTGCCTTTGTACCTAAGGTGGTTGGCTCATGTACCCCCATTGACATTGAGGCATTTCCTCCGCCACTGTGTTCCTCTGAGGAACAGCGGCCAAATTTGCTGTGCCCAGTCCGTGCTTTACGCATCTATATGGACAGGTCAAAAGAGTTTTGTTGCAATGACCAACTCTTTGTATCCTGGGCTAACCCTCATAAGGGCAAGCCCGTTACCAGGCAACGGCTCTCCTACTGGATTGTGGAAGTGATTTCTCTGGCTTATACGAGTCAGGGTTTGCAGGCACCAACGGGCCTGCGTGCTCATTCTACTCGTGGACTGGCTACATCTTGGGCTTTGTTCAAGGGTGTTTCCATCCAAGACATTTGTGCAGCAGCAAGCTGGTCCTCACCGCTCACTTTTGTCCGCTTTTACAGGCTAGATGTCTCTGCTCCAAGTGTGGCCCGCGCAGTGCTGGGCCCCGTGTTGAGACAGGGTTCTACCTGTTAAGTTCTGGTTGTTTTGGTGATTTTCGAGATAAGCATGTCTAGCAATACCGGAGTTTCAATATCCCATAGTGAGACATCGAACGGAGTGTTATGAATGAGAACTATAGGTTACTTACGTAACCCCAGTTCTCAGAGTAACATGAAGTGAGATGTCTCACCAGACGGCCCTTCTTGCTAAGGCGAAGCGAGAAGAGGTGCTTATTTTGAATGACGCTGCGACGTAGCGCAAGCTACTTAAAGGGTGGGTGGATTCCCTGACGTAGACGTCAAGATCACCAGCCAATCAGAATTGGCGTAATGAGATTGATGCTTCTGTTTGCATACGCGTTGAGGCGCATCCCATAGTGAGACATCTCACTTCATGTTACTCTGAGAACTGGGGTTACGTAAGTAACCTATAGTTTCTGGAAGTGAAACGAGGCAGCAGAAAAACAGAGGTCTGTGATGTATTTTGTGAAACAGAAGAACAGCTAAATAAATGCAACAGCCTCCCAAGAAGAGCTCGCCTCTCTCCAGTCTCCAACTATGTTTTGTGTTTGTCGAGTTTGACCTCTTGATAGAATCAAGTATAAAAACCAAATATCTGCTCTGCATTTACAATTGTTTTGGTCAGTATGAAAAACAACCAAGAGGATGAGGTGTAGATCAAAGCAAACAACACATGGATGTTGGACAACTTTTCCAGCTTTGTTATTGTGAAATTCTGTTTCACAAGAGACACAACAAGCATAATGTCCTCAAACCTTAATCCTTTCCTCCATTCTTTTTTCTTCCTTCTCTTCTTTCCCAGTTCAAAGAAAGTTTAAAACAAGCCCAATTTCTCTGATCTCGATCCCCATATAAACAGTTTCTGCCTCACCACTGTACTGCTACTATGATTCTTTCCCCATCCATTTCCTTTTGAACAGGGCTTCTCTTTGTTTGTACTCCCCCTCATCTCCCCCTTCTCAATAAATTCCCCCTGAGTTGAAAATAAATACACATCAGACCACCTTACTAATACTGAGTCGACCCTTACAAATAATCCCTCTTCTCCTTTTTCATACAACTCCTTGACAAAATGAATGAAATAAATAAAGCTCACATCTTTACTCTGGATTAATCTGGTTTATATCATAAGAACCCATTTCTTATATACTCTACATGTACACAGAACTGGCAATATGCCTACTTCTTTTTTAACCAAGACCATCTGTGAAAATGAGAAAGTGTGTGCAGGGGAGAGAGCCCATCGTTGAACCTTGTATTAAAATGTTGTTCTTGCTTCAACTATAAATAAATAAATAAACGAAACCTCAATAAGTCTTTCTTTACTGTCATCTTATCATCTCCCAAATCGTTCTCTTTTTATCCTCTTTCTTCTAACTTTATATAATGTTGCAAAATCCCCAAAGACTCTCAAACAAACAGACTTTTCGTCTCCTTCTTCTGTAACAAAGCTGATAACCTCTGATCTGGTGGTTCCAACATTGGTCAACAGTCTTAAGTAGACTCTGAGTGTCCGGAACAGATGAGTATGAAATAAGGAATGCCAAAAAGGCCAAAATATTTGTCTGAAAAGATGCAGCTGTGAACACTTCCCTGAGTAAGACTGTCATTTACTGTTAAGAAACAACATAGTCAATTTTAAACCCATATTCAATGCTACAAAAACATGTGCATTAGTCATTGTGTGTTTCAGATAATTCCATGTTCAGTGAATACATCTGCATAACGGTGATTTAGCTCAAATACTGCGGTGCACAACATTTTAAAAAGACCCAAATCGACATCTTGTTTGTGTTTTAAAAGATATGAAAGTCTCGCCAAATGTTATAAAAAGTCATTTTTTTTCACAAATATCATATACATTTCCTAATTTTTTTCATGTGTTTACCACCTAGCGCCTCGTATCATCACCTTATTGGAGACAGTGGATATACTTCTGGATCACAATGCCACCTTCATCTGTGAGGTGGAGTCCCGTCCCCCTGCTGACATCACTTGGACTAAGAATAACCACCCAATAATGTAAGTTCACATGAAGACTGCACCATTAACTCACCTTTAGTTACTTACTTTGGCAATCACAAAGGTTAGGGTTACGGCCTGTCCACATGGCGGCGTGCGTTGAAGCTTCAACGCTTCTGCCCATTCACTTTGAATGGGGTGACGTCACGCTTCGCCGAACTGCATTGTGGGAGCGTCGCTACGCTTTGCTCGCGTTGCTCGCTTCAAAAGTTGAGCAATGTTCAACTTTTGAAGCTTCGACGGAAGCGTCAGCCAATCAAATCATTATGCCAGTACAAGCTCTAGCCAATCAAACCGCATGCTTGTGTGTCCGGGGCGGGAGATTCATGTGATTGGTTGTTGGTCGAGTTTCAGACACGCCCGCCGGCAAGCTTCAACGCACGCTGCCGTGTGGACGCTGCGTTAGGGTTAGTGAGATGAAATTAGCTGATTTGTTGCCTAGCAAAATGCTGACAATAAAGCCATTTTTTATGTTAATGATGTCCACTTTATTAGTTGGTAAAATGCTAGTAACATTAGCTGCTATGCTGACCATCACACTACCAATATTTGAAAAGGTATTTGTTTAAGTATAGCTGCAAATGTTGGAATTGTAGCTACATACAGTACACAGCATATAAATGGATTTTGTTTATATTGGATGATTTTCAAAAATAAGTCTTTCTTAATATTCACTTAATTTCACAGTCACTCTCTCATTTTTGTCCTACCAGGTACTATGACACCCGGTACATTACAAGGGAGCATGGGCAGATGCTAAGCATTCCTCGCGTAAGAGATACAGACAATGGAGAGTACTGCTGCATCGCCAGTAACGGCATTGGAGAGGCGGCCAAAAGCTGTGGAGCTCTGCAGCTAAAGATGAGTATGTCTGTCTTTTTTTTCAAGATTCTATATATTCATATTCCAATCACAGTAGCATTGAAACAAAAGGCTAAATGTATCTTGTCTGTCTTTCCAACAGAGCCACAGATCAAACGCCACCCTACCAATTTAACCCTATTGGTAGAATCCAAAGCAGTGCTGCCCTGTGTTACCCTCGGCAACCCCAAACCAGATGTCACATGGCTCAAAGATCATGAGCTTATCAAAGTATGCCATCCTTTTTTAAACATACTATATATATTACCATAAAGGACTCTGACATCCCTCTTCTTGGCTTGGTTTATAGTGTCCCACAGTATTACATTTAAAATAGTGAAAATCAGTTCTTTCTTTAAAACTATTTCAAAAATGGTCTCATCTCTCCCAGATCAGTGACCGTGTTACCGTTCTTGACTACGGTGCGTTAAAGATCCATAACATCCAGAAGCAGGATGCAGGACAGTATCGCTGCGTGGCCAGGAATAGCTTTGGTTTGGCCTTCTCAAAGCCTGTCACCATAGAGGTCCAGGGTATGTATTTTAACCTGGTTTCACTTTCTACGTCTTATACAGTATGTAAACACTGTACTGTATGTTGAGCCGAAGGAATATAGTAGTTTGGTTGCAATATATGTATGTGAATGTGTGTCTACACTGTGTGTTCGTGTGTGTTTAGCTCCAGCACGAATCCTACGGGTTCCTAAGGAGAAGCGAGTAGCCTATGGCAGCCAGATTTCCCTGGAATGTAACGCCACAGGAAATCCGATCCCTACCATCACCTGGCTCGAAAGTGGAAATACTGTGAGTGTTCAAGTTCAGTGTGTTGTGTAAAAGCACATTTTTGTGGGGTTTGCCCAATATGGGTATCGAGAGGTTCGTTGACTGATGCTGTGTTTTAGCTGAATCCATTGTAAATCTACAAATGTATCTCTATCAGGGTCTTAAAACCTCTAAACCAGATAATAAAAGACTCTAAAGCTATGAATGTTTGTGATCAAATACAAACAAAACAACAATATTCATGGTGGTAGCTCTATCCATCGTGTATATGCCCAGTCCTCAGTCTCTCATAAATGCTTGCGATCTCACTGGGAATATTGTTGTCTCTTTTACAATGGTTGGGTTGGCTCAAATGTAATTTACCACAGCCAGCATCAGAGATATTTTTATCATGTAGCTGACATTGTGACACATTGTCAGCCAGAAGGGTCTTACATAATGGGAAATCACTGACAATAACAGAGCAGATAGTCTGGAAAGCCAACATGCATTGCAGTCCAATACAATACTCAAATAAAGTTGACTAAATTAAGCCTTCATATTCACAGGGCAAAGATCCTGAACCTACTCAGCATCTATTTTATCAAATTAGTTAGCAATCCAAAGAATAGAAGCAGGTCTAAACAACATTAATTAGCTAGCGTCTACACATCACCATTAGATTATCTAGCGTCTAGCTACACATCACCATTAGGTATTTAGTGTTCCATTTGGCGGTCTACAGAAGCAACACACTCCAGTTTAGAGTAGTGGAAGCTAAATTATGTCTTTGTCTTTTGAGTTGACCGCTCCCCCCCAAAAAACGGATTAAGTCCTCCGTGCAATCAATATATTACGAGCCCTGGTGGCGACAGTAGCAAAGGAGGAAGCAGGGCTCGACATTATAAATGACCCGCTGGCCCGGAAGCACTATTTAGACACCCCGGGCCAGCATAACGTACTTTCCACTAAAAATATTGTTTAAAAAAAAATGTTTCCTGTGGTATTGGTATTTTGACTAGCAATTTTGTTAAATTGTTTCGTTTATTAACGCTACAACATAGCGTTTCGTTAGTCGCTTGTCGTTGTTGGGTGAAAAGCAAACAGCTGTTTGCTGCGGAGCGCAGCGCGAGCAGGCTCCCGTGAGCGAGAGCGCGCTCCTTCACTACAGACTATCGCGCCACCTAACCATTCGCCAAAATGTTTTTAATACCAGCGGTAACCGGCCAAGCGCCGGGCAAAAAACTATCTTCAAATGAAAGAAAGTCACCGGAGGAGTTAAAGGAGAGTGACAGGGAGCATGAGAAGAAGAGGGAGAGAACATTTCAGCTTCATCGATGGAGTTAGCTTCTAGTGGTGCAGTGACGCATCCTAAAACCCTTATATAATCTATCGATTAGATTTATGAGTCGAACATTATAAAAGTAGGGTAGACATGTGGATATTATCCGGCTGAACAAAACGTGCATTTATCAAACAGGTTTGTTTTCCACAGACCTTATTTCCAGCTATTTTCCAAAACCCGGTGGAGAAATCCCATTGCTTTTTGTCGAGGGAACCAGCAGCTTACTTCCTGGTTTTAGGATGCGTCACTGGCTGCACCTCTCAATATGATGCCAATATAAACAAGGTCTTCTGTCGGCTCTGTACATCAATGCCGACCTATGCTGACAGTAAGTGAAGAGTAGACAATATAAAGGTATTGGCTAGAGGGAAATGTCCCAGCAGTTTAGGAGAATGAAGGTTATAATCTAATCTATAGCCATTACATTTCTAACTCCTGATGACAGGAAGGCAGAAAGTGCATTATACAAATAATAATACTCATAATAATAGCATTTTTTAACAATGACCACAATATCATTATTTTAATAAACCAAATATGAACAATTGAGGAAAATGAGGAAGAACTGATTATTCAAATGTTTTAGTACAAGTAGTAATGTAGTTAGTGCATAAATTACTATTGCAACAAATGTGTTAATTTTCTTCATTATTAGTCGATTTTGTTTTGGACGAATGCTCCGGGCCAGTGGTTACAATGGTGGGGCCAGTGATAATACAATTGATAATAATGCATTTTACCCTTAATGTCTACCCCTGAGGAAGTCAGGTGACATATGAATAACAACAAAGTACACATAGGAGAAAGGTCAGGGAAGAATGTGAGGACTTGTTGAAAGATATGGACACACGATGTGTGCAAATGTATTTAGTTTCCAATCCATGTGAACATGATTTAAGTGGGGGGGGACCTAACCTCCTCTAGGGGGGTCGGGGGGCCTGGGAAGATTTGTTTTTTTAAATGTTGAAGTTAAAAGCATCAATCTGGTGCAGATCTATGGATACATCTCTCAACACCCATATGAAACAGAACTGGAAGCAGATTTATTTTTCTTTATGAATATTTGACAAATCACTCCCCTTTCAAACTGTATTCTTCTTTATTAATAACAACTTTTTTTTACTGTCATATAGTATTTTATACCTGTTTACTTTATTCTCTTGTTTTTTTACAACTATAATGATCATATAAAGATGTGCCTTTACCTCACTGGTTGTAGAAAAAGCTTCTTATATTCGTTAGCATAGCTAGCTAACCCGATTGTATGATCAGTATGACAGATGAACAGATCGCCACTGGGCTTTCAACTAAAAACACAGACACGCAGAACCTGCATCCAGTGGCGTTTTCTCCCGGAGGCCAAGGGAAGCCAGGCTTCCCCTGTTTTTTCGGATTGTAGTTATAATTTAAATAAATAAATAAAAACACTTTGTTTTGTTTCGATAATTCTCCTTTGCTGTGTGTTGCTGCCGGCCGGTCTCTCCCCCATTCTCATTGAGTATTTTACAAAGAGTGAAACAAACAGCGCCCCTCTAGATGTTATGGTGAAACAGTAGATTGCACTCACTGTTGCGAGAGGAGGCCAGCCGAATCTGGCTTCCCGTGGTGAAAAAAAATTGAGGGATTGACCAATCAGATGAGGCTCACGTGATGCCCCCGCCAACCTGTGATTGGTCAGGGCCATGCCAAGGGAAGCCAGAGGCGGCTGGCTTGCCTCACAATCCAATCAAATCGCATCAACTTAGTGTTGCAGTGACGCGTCCTAAAGTCCGGAAGTAAGCTGCGCTCGGTTTCCCTCGACAAAAAAGGAATGGGATTTCTCCATAGGATTTAGGAAAATAGCTCGAAATAAGGTCAGTGGAAAACGAACCTGTTAGATAAATGCACGTTTTGTTCAGTCGGATAATATCCACATGTCTGCCCTACTTTTATAATTTTCGAATCATAAATCGAATCGATAGAAGATAGATAGCGTCACTGCACCACTCTCACTGCCGTTAGAAAGTAGCAAGCAACTGAAGCAAGTGCAATTATGGAGGGTGGAGATTTGGAGTATTTCATCAAAAATAATTGTACTAAACTTCCGCTACAGCACGAACAACAAATACAATCTGATGACAGGCCTATGCCCAAACTGGAGCTGTGTACAGCGAGGAAAAAAGGAGCGAATCGAACGTAAAACGTTAAAGGTCTCCTGATTTAGTTTGTGAATGAATGCTTATTAGAGTTTGGAATGGAGAGTGCGTGCGGACCTGTCGGTTAGATAACAGGCGTGTGTAAGTCCTGCATCTGATAAAAATGTGTGTAAAATGATACCGGGTGCTGTAATCATTCATCTGGTTACGTTATTACATTGACCACCACACCCCCGACCCAAAAGAAAGGACGTATTATTGGCTTCCCCTAATTTTTTCCCCACGCCACGCTACTGCCTGCATCATGTGTACAGCTCCTTATGGGTACTGCAATTTCTGAAGTGCTGGAGTGTAGTGATGTGTTGGTTGCGAACGAGCCGGCTCAAAGAGCCGGCTCTTTTAAGTGAACGACGGGAGCCGGTGTTGCAGTATAACGTGAGTCATGACAACTGGCGACATTCTATTATTTTCGTCATAGGAATCCGGGGCGTGTACATTGAGGACCCATTGTTGACTTACCATGTCGATCGCCTCGTTTGTCGTTTACGTTCATCTTTTGCTATATATGCCTTCCTAAGATCACTTTGATGCACATTCAGTACTCGTATGTGAGGTTGTGGGTGAGAGGTGGATATCGTGACGCTTACAGGGAGGTATCGAACATTACAAAGTAGGTGACTGTGTGGATGCCTGTTCAAAATATTACAAACTTGAATAAATCATTTACATTATATATTTGTGTCCGACTTTCATTTGTACATCGTTATTAATGTGATCTATAGTAGCTTTGATAGCTGCCCATACCTTCAGACAGCCTAAAAGTAAAACACAAGTCGTTTATTCACAGCCCGAACGCTCATCGACATGACTCGATCACTCATGACAAGTTGTGATCAGCTCCGATTAAATTGTGATATAAATGCTGTAGCTATTCTCCAGGGAGCCCGTTTTTTTTAATGAAATACCTGTATCCCTCTCATCACAACAAGACTCTACACTGTGCAGGAAAAACAATTACATACATGAAAATAACCTTGATGCATGGGAATGAATCACACAAACTATCTTCCGTGGCTATACTGATGTCACAGTAACGGTCAACCACAGAAACGTAAGTCCAGCGGGGCACACGTTGAATACATATAAAACATTTGTACATCGTTCTTAATGTGATGTATAGTAGCTTTGATAGCTGTCCATACCTTCAGACAGCCTAAAAGTAAAACACAAGTTGTTTATTCACAGCCCGAAAGCAGCATCGAGATGACTGGATCATCTGCAGTGTTGGGCAAATTACTTCCAAAATGTAATACAGTACATTACTTATTACTGTCTTTTTTAAGTAATAGGCTACGTTACATTACAATATTACTGTCTCTGAAATGTAATGACTTACACTACTTTTATATTAGCCTACTTTTGATCACAAATACATGGATCCTGAGATTGAAGCTCAAGCCGGTGACCAGTGAGATTGTTCTAACAATTTCCAATAAATGTTATTCTGAAACATAACTATCACTGTTGTCTTTCCTTCTATAAATGAAGCGAAAAATATGTCA